TCTCTCTCTCTCTCTCTCTCTCTCTCTCTCTCTCTCTCTCTTCTTTTGTTTTTTTGAGACAGGGTCTCACGCTGTAGTTCAGGTTGGCCTTGAACTTGCAGTGATCCTCCTGTTTCAGCCTTCCAAGTGCTAGGATTACAGGCATGCACCACCATGCCTGGGCCAGGAATGTATTTCTATATAGTAATTTTTCTTGGCTTCCTATTACTTAATCTGTGTGTGTGTGTGTGTGTGTGTGCGCGCGCGCACGCACGCTCAGTACTGGGAATTGAACCCAGGACCTTCCCATTGAGCTACATCCTCACCCCTTTTTAATTTTTAGTTTGAGGCAGGGTTTTGCTAAATTACTACATTGCTTCAGGCTGGGCTTCAACTTTTGATCCTCCTGCCTCAGCCTCCAGAGTGCTGGAATTACAGGCATCCACCATCATATCTGGCTTTTGTTTTTCCTTTGTGGAGAAAGAGCTGAGTTTCATATCAGCTGCCCAAAATTCCAGTCTGGGTTCCATCCATTTCCTTTTAGTAAGTACCTAAGCTTTCCTGGGAACTGACTTTCTTTTCTTGCATATGGCCATAGTAATGTACCCTTCCCTTGGGTTCAAAATGGTGATTAACTAGGAGAGGACATGGGCATGCTTGGCACAGGGTCTGGCACACAGAGATAACCCTCCCTGTGTCCTTTTATCTGGTAAGAACCTTGCAGGGTGTGTTGCTAAACGAAGAAGGTGGTACCTTCAAAGTCAACCAGGCCATCTCCATTGAGGTCAATGTCCTGCAGGATCTCATCCACCTCCCGCTGGCTGAGGCGCTCCCCCAGCAGAGCCTTGAGGGCCGCCCGAAGCTCCCCCAGGCTGATGCAGCCATCCCTGTTGGTGTCGAACTGTGGTGGTGTTAATTGTGGCTTGGGGTCACTGACTGAGTCAGACATCTGCTCAGCCCCTTATTCCCTGCAGAGCTGCGGCCCACCCGCCCAGCCTGGGCCCCTCTCACCTCCCGGAAGGCATCCCGAAGCTCCCTGACACCAATCATGTCTGCTGTCTCTGCCAGCAGCTTGGGGCCCATCAGCTCCACGAAGTCTTCAAAGTCCACCTTCCCGCCACCTGGGAGTCATGTCCAATGGCTGGAGACCCCAGCCTAGCACCAGGCCCTCCCTCCTGTGCCACTGTCCTCCCTTCTGCCCCTGGGCCTCTCTCCCCTTGCCTCATTAATGCTTGGGCCCTTCCCCTGCTTCCTGATGGGAACTACCCTCTAAGCAAGGCATGGATCTGGCCAAAGATGAAAGGCAAGCCACTCTTTTAAAGTGTGCTGGGGCTTTCCTTGATTTTCTGAAGCGTTTGGCTGGGGGCGAGTCCTGGCTCAGATGCTGTGTGACCTTAGACAAATTACTTCACTGCACAGAGACTCACTTTCCTCATCGGTAAAAGGGGGCAATGTGGCCCTCACCCTGCCTCCCCCAGAAGCTGGTGAGATTTGAGGGAATGTCCTAGGCCCTGGGCCCTGGCATGTGAGGACAGCCTGTGCAGTCACCTCTGGGTCTGGGCTGTTAGCTTTCCTGGTCCTGGCCAGGGCATCTGCGGAACAGGGATGGGGAAGTTCTGAGACATACTGATTTGCTGTGAGATCTCGATGAGCTCCATCTCGGTGGGCATGTAGCCCAAGGTCCGCATGCAGGCACCCAGCTCCCGATAGCCAATGTAGCCGTCCCGGTCTCGGTCAAACTCCTGGAAGGCGACCTGCAGCTCTACCAGGCAGGGTGGGATCAGTGGGGTCAGTCCTCCTACACCCCTTGGATCCCTGCCTGTACCAGACCAGCCCATCCTTCCTTTGGTCTAATTACCAAATAATCTCTTTCTAAACATCGGTTCCTGAAGACTCAGGGCATTTGTACAGGCTGGTGTGTGTGTGTGTGTGTGTGTGTGTGTGTGTGTGTTTGTGTCCCAGAACCTCACGTATGTTAGGCAAGTGCTTTACCACTGAACTATACCCCCAGCCCTTCAATGCTGTTTTTGTTTGTTCTTTCAACAAATATTCAAGGAGCATTTGCTATGTGCTAGGCTCTGCTCTGAGGACATGGCAGTGAATAAAAAAGGAAGAAGGAAGGAAGAAAGGAAGGAAGTGAAGCAAATCCTTGACCTCATGGAGGCTGCTCTCCCCTCCTCTTTGGCTCTATGGCACTCACTCAAGAGAGCCTTCTCTGTCCATTTGTTCCCTGTCAGCCCATCTGCTCCTTTTCTTGTGAGCCCTTGGCGCTGTTTATACTTGTAGTTGATGTGTTGCCATCTGTCCCAGAGGGCTTGGGCCAGATTGGCCCAGTTTGTCATGCTTCCCCATGCTCGGTGCAGGGCCAGGCCCACAACGGGTACCCAGGAAGTGTTGATTGGATGGATGCTTATGAAAGAGGCCCTTGACCCTCCTGACAAAGGAGACCAAGGAGCTGATGGCTGGAGAGGGAAGGGTCTGCTGCCTCAAACATATCCTCTGTAACCTTCTTGCTCCATTTCCTCTTGCAGATTGCTGAACCCCCGACTGATGCCCCCATCCTGTGGCCTCTACCCTGCGCCCCCCCTCTGGGAATTGCCCCTTTCAAACACTTTACCTTCGAGCTCCTCAGGCCGTAGGTCCCGATCCTGGGGGGCACAGATGGGTTAGGAATTCCCTGGGCCATCCAGGCCCCACTGCACCATTCACACAGGGCCCATGTCTGCTTGCTCACTGCCCAGGGCATCTTGGGTGCCCCTTCCCTGCCACTGGGCCAGGCTGCTCTCAGGGCCTCCCTGGCCCCTGCCCCCCTCTTCTGGGGAATTCCTTTTGCCAGAGGTGGATCTGGGGGTCTGGCACAACCTCAGATGTGGCCTCCACATCACTGTAAGTCTCCAGTGTTCTCTCTCTGTCCCTTGAGTCATCACTCTCTGTCCCCTCTGCCCCCACTGCTGGACTGGTGTGCCCCTGCTCTGAGGTTCCCCTCCATCCTCTTTCTTCTGTTCAAGGAGTGGCAAAGGAAAGGACAAAGCTGTGGGCTGGCGGGTGAGTGGCCGTACATACGAGCTGGGTGGTGGCGATGTTGGGCCGAAGGAAGATGCAGGCTGGCCCCACCAGGCTGCCAAGCACTGAGTAGCCCTGGACGCCCCCCTGCTCCTTGGGGCGGGGACTGGCACTACAGCAGGAGCCCCCTCTGGGGGAGCCAGGCCACTGCCAGGGGTCCTGCAGCAGAGCCAGCCATGAGTGGGGTAATGGCCTGAGGCCTCTCCCTTCCCCCTCCCCAGCCAGCCATTCTGCTCTTTAGAACCCAGCACCCAGCCATGAGGAAGAGGCTTGGGGTACACAAGACCCTCACCCATTAATACTGTAGACTGGAAGGGTTTATCCCCTAACTGCTCAGTTGGGCAAACTGATGCACTGAAAAGATGAAAGTCTTGGCCAGGGTCACTGAGGAAGCCAGTGGTTGAGTGAGACCTGACTTTCAGTTCTGTGCTGCCCCAGCCAAGGCTGGCAAGCAGGGAGCAGGCCCCAGAGGGACAGACAGCGAGGACCTGGTCAGCTGAGCAGGGGAGACCAGCCAACTGTGTGAGCCAGTCTGAGTCTGAATCTGGGGTGTCCTGGAAAAAAGTCTCATTTGAGGACAATGAGCAACCAACCCCTCCATCCAGAGGCCATGCCTACCTCCATCTCTAGCCGTCCCTAACAGGACTCTGCCCACTAAATCTCCGGGTCTTGACTGCTCCCCCTTTGCCCTCCTACCTTGGGCCCTCGACGCCAGGGCCGCTTGGCACAGTTCCCCATGGGCCCCTGAACCATGCCAGGCCCAGAGTCCTGGTGCAGTGGATGCTGCCGGCCCCCAGCAGCTCCCAGTGAGAGCCCGGATGCACTGCTGGGGATTTTCCTAGGGTTTTGTGGGGAAGATCGAGGGCGGGTGGGCAGGCGGGGGGCCCTGGGCCCAGTGGTGCATGGGTCCTAATCAGGGATTATCTCTGAGCATCTCTGCTGGTAAGGGGGGCCACTTAGGGCCCAAGGCCCTCTGGAAGGCACAGTCTCCCCATGCTTTCTCCTGAGGGTCTCCTCTCCTGTACTCTTCTCCCCCATGCCCACCCCTAATCTTCCAGTCAGGAGAGATTTTGTATCTTCAGAAGCAGGCCAGGAGGAGGCAAGCACCCCTGGGTCGGGGGGCAGGGGTGGCTGGGCCTCTGTCCCTGCAGAAGAGCAGTAAGTCCAGGGGGGATGAACACAGCAGACCCTTCCCCATGGCCTTTCTGAGAGAGGAGATCCCTGATCCCTTCCCAGAGTACACCCAGCCTGCTTGCCCTTGGAGCCCAGACCTGGATTGGCCTGGCACCCTTGCAGGAGAAGCTGAAGGAGGCTGCCTCTGGGTGCTGTATGTGGAAGCTCAGTAAATACTGAGGTGGGGAAGGGGGTTACTCTGGCCTCTGCTGACCCACAGACTGACCCCTCTGTCATGTGAGTTCTGCATCCCCTCATGCATTTGGCCCTGATCTGTCATACAGGGGACCCTGAAGTTCCCTCATGGTCCCCTCATTCCCCCTTACCTGCCCATAGGCTGCCTGCACCTGAGTCTCGAGCTCCTGAAGAAGTGCTCGCCGGCTGGCCGCTGGGCTGGCAGGGGCCTGGCTGGGACCTGGAGCCCCTGCAGAAGGGCTGGGGTCCCCCAAGGGGATGCTGCTGTCTGCTGGGCCCTCTGGCAGGGCCATGGACACCAGGGGTCGGCACCTCCTTCAGGCCCTGCTTTGTGTCCTGGTCCTGTGGGCAGGTGGCTCAGTGGGCAGCTGTGGGTGTGGTTCCCAAGGTCCTTCCTCGGTGGCTAGCAGAGCTCTATGTCCCTGAAATGCCCTATTTCCCCCACTGTCCCTTGCACAGCCCTGCCAGCCTGCATAGCCTCCCTGAAATTCTCCCCTCCCTCCCCTGCTATGGCCCTTCGGGCCTCACCTTGAGGCTCTTCCTGCAGCTGTTACCTCCTTCTCCCCATGTCCTGCCTCATCTCTCTGACTCAGGGTCCCCAGCTTGATCTGCCTGCAACATGGCTGTCTCACTTTCCATCCCCCTCATCCCACCACTATCTCTGTCTCTACCCTGCAGTGTCTCTGTACCTCCTTCTCACCTTAGTCTGTTTGTACGCAAAGGCAGGTCACCTCCTTCCTGCCCCCACCCAGAGTCACAGGGTACCTCTGTTCCCCCACCTTCCTGCCTCCTGTAGTGACCCCCACCTGGTCCTGCTGACCTGCAACCTCTTGCTTCTCAAGGAAAAGGGGTGGAGGTGGCCAGGCAGCTTCCACTGGTCTCCCGTGCCCCCTCGTCATGCCCCCAGCCCACTCACCACCCAGCTGCCTTTCCTCCACTTCCAGAATGAGGTCAGTTGTCCTGCCTGGCCCTGTTCAGGGCCTCTCATGATTTATTCACTTGCCCCCTGCACCAGCCTTTGTCCCAGGGAACCAGATCCCAGCAGACATCTGCCACCTGAGCTGGTGGCTCTGCTCCTCTTGGCCTTTCATGGCCACCCATTCATGTATTCCCTCTGCCAACATTTGAGGTGGGCTGGGAGCCAGCCCTAGGGCCATTTGACAGACCCTACCTCCCAAAGGACCCTGTTCTCAGACACATCTAACTCAGAAAAGGCCACCAGGCAATCTCTGTATTTAGCAGGCACCAACCCGGGCATCAGGGAGGCACGGTGGAGGGGATGAGGAGAAGGGGCAACACTCCAGGCCAGTGATGGTGAACCTTTTAGAGCTTTTAATGATAACAAACAGTCGGCTGCGGTGAGCGTGCCATGGGTTTGCCACCACTGCTAGGCATTGCCCACCTGTGTTTGAACTGGACCTGATGCTGGGTGAGTGCTGAGGTCTGGGACAGGGATCAGTCAGAAACGTGGAGTGTGTTGGGTGCAGGGCTTGGTGGGTGAAGGCTCTCAGGAAGAAGTTAGTAGCCTTTGTGGAGAGTATGGGTGGCAAGAGGCCTGGGATGATTTCAGAGGGGCTGGATCTTTAGCCAATGTTTGTCAAGCACTCTTTTGTGCCTTCCTGGGTGCTGGGAGCCAGTCCCTGCTTCTGGAACTTTCCACCTGGTGGAAGCAGCACAGGCAGCAAAGTAGAATTATAGTAGATGGGGAAGTGCAAGGAATGGTCCCCAGGCTGTTTACAGGAGACCTGGCTGTGATGAGGTCTGTGTGTGTGATGGGAGTGGCTAAGGGACAGGGTGGGTCATGCAGGGAGAAGGAACAGCCTGCACACAGCCCAGAGGCAGGGCTGAGATCTGAGGACAGGCAGGGACAGGGAGGAGAATGGATGCTGGCCAGGCCGTCAAAGATGGGAAGGAGTCATTGTGATTATTCACGGTGACTTAGTGCTCAGCCTCTGTACCTGGAGACCAGGCCTGCACCAGTGTCCCAGGCAGCAGCATCCCTGAAAACATACTTCACAAAGTTTACCTGTTTTCTGCAAGGTTGTAGAAAAGGCCTGCAGGGCTGGGTTTCCCAGACACTCGAGTGACCCAAGTAATGTATTTCATCTCTTTTTTTTTTGTTTTGTTTTGTTTTTGGTACAGGGGATGAACTTGGGACCTTGAGCTTTCCAGGTAGGCGCTGGAACAACTGAGTTAAATCCCCGGCCCTGTATTTCATCTCTTTGAGCCTCAGTTTTTTTGGGGTTTTTTGGGGGTTTTTTTTTTTGGTACCGGGGATCAAACTTGGGACCTTGTGCTTGCGTGGCAGGTGCCAGAACCACTGAGCTAAATCCTGAGCCCAAGCCTCAGTTTTTTAAATCTGAAAAATGGCGGTTGGCCTAGTATCTGGTTCTAAGAAGGTGAGAAATGTATGTAACAAAGTACAATCCAAAGCAGTTGGGCTTATAACTGGGTAGAGGACAGTGAGTAAGAGTTCTCAATCTAGGAGCAATAGCTTTGTGCCTAAGGGAGGAGAGAGCTTGGCTTAGAAATCCTTCCTGTCTTGTGTTCAATGAGCAGAGTCCTGGAGCATTCATCTTGGTGAGCTCAAGTTGCCCAGCCTGATTAGCTAAGCTGGGTCCTAGTTCTGGTATATAGGACAGGTGAACTAGTGGTTTGACTGATCAGTAGATAGATGGATGGATGGATGGACAGGTTGGATGTATGGGTAGGTGGATGGGTGGGTGGAGGGGAAGTTGGATGGGTAGCTGCTTTGATGGGCTAAATGGTTGGTGAATGGATGGATATGTAATTCATAGATAGATGGTTGGTTGGATGAATAGATGGTTGTGTGAAAAGATGGCTGGATAAGCAGGTGGAAGATGACCGGTGGATTAACAGGTTCATAGATGTTTTGATTCACTAGTGGTTGAATGTTGATCATTGGGTGGATGGATGAGTGGGTGGATGGACAAATAGTAGGGTGGAAATGGATACATGGCTGGGTGGATTATTGTATGTGGTCTTATACTTTTCATTAAAAGAGACTCTTAGGTAGGGGTTATATATTACCTTTTCAGTATCTCTGGTGATGCTCATTCACTGCCTGACATTTACTTACCAATGAATGAATGAAGACTGTGTATCTCCCCCCAATCTGAACTGTGATTCCTCTGATGACAAAGATAGTAGCTTATTCTCCACCATGTTCCCCACAAGCCAAACCCTGAGCTTGGTACCTGGTAAGCACCATAAAAGAACCATACTGGGACAGACTTTACATCCACTAGAATAGCTAAGTAAAAGGTGGACAGTAACAAGTGTTGGTGATGGGGAGAAACTGAAACCCTCCTATGTGGATGGCAAGATTCTCAAATGATGTGGACACCGTGGGTGTGGCCTGAAAGTGACTGATCCCATGACCCAGCAAGTCCTCTCCTGGGTATGGACTGAAAAGAAAAGATCAGTTCACACGAAAACTTGTATATAAATATTCCTGGAAGGCCAGGGATTTAGCTCAGTGGCACCGTGCCTGCCTCATAAGCACAAGGTCCTGAGTTTGATCCCCAGTACTGAAAAAAAAAATTCCTGGAAGCATTATACCTAGTAGCCAGAGTGAAATAAACCCAAATATCCGTTGATAAATGCATAAGCAAAAATGCAATGGAATATTTTTCAGCCATGAAAAGAAACAAAGAACTGACACATGCCACCACCTGGATGAAACTTGAAAATGTGAAAAGTGAAAGAAGCCAGACACTAAAGAACAAATACTGTATGATTCTATTCATATGACATGTCCAGAGTAGGCACATCCATGGAGATAGAAAGGAGAGTAGTGATGGCCAGACAACAGGGGAGGGGTAGGTGCTAATGGGAATGGGCTTTCATCGTGTTTAGGCACGATGAAAATGTTCTAGAATTAGACAGTGGTAATTATATTATGATTGCACAACACTGAATATACTAAACTCCAGAGAATGTACTGTACATAAAGGTGAATTTTACATAACAAAAAGGATGTTTATATATGTATTTAAAACCCACCAAAGACAGCTGTTGACATACACATGGGCTGGATATCGGGGATGGACAGAGTGAGGTGCCTGGCCTGCCAGCCTGGGACAGTGATGTTTCAGAGACCCAGAGGAGAAGGAGAGGAAGCCCCAGGGCTGCCTGTGGAGCCAGAGGACTGTGGTAAAACAGCCCCTTGGAACACTGCAGCAGAGTGTGCCTCCATCAGTGGGGGACAGTCTAAACATGGCCAGCCTGCTGTGTCTGTCAGCTTTCTGTGACTGTAACAAGTACCTGAAATAGATCAACCTAGAAAGAGGAAAGAGTTATTTGGGCTCATGGTTTCAGTCCATGGTCACTTGGTCCCATTGCCTTTGGGCTTGGGGAGAGGCAGAACATTATGATGGGAACACATGGTGGAGAAAACTGCTCCCCTTGTGGCAGACAGAAAGCAATCAGAGAGGAAGGGGCTGCATCCACATATCCCCTTCAAGGACACACTCCCACTGGCCTAACTTGCTCCCACTAGACTCCACCTCCTAAAGGTCCCAGCATCTCCCAGTCGCATCAGAGGCTGGTGGAGGGCACTTATCCAAACTGTAGCACCTGCACTCCCAGGCCTGTGACACTTCTGCACAAAGACAGGGCATGTGTGCTTCAGCCCAGAACAGCTGAATGAACCTCTCTGAGCCTTGGTGTCTTTGTCTGCATAATGGGAACAAGATTCTCTCCCTCCCGGGTTTGGGATGTGGGAAATGAAATGAGATCATTCATATGAAGGCTTTTCGTAAGCGGTTCCAAGCTGGGCAGATGTTCCTCCAGCTGTGAGTCAGGGATGAGAGCCCAGCTCTGGCACCATCTCCTCCACCCCCTCCAAGCCCCAGGGAGCTGTGGGCTCAAATGCAGGGAAGGAGTGGAAAGTGCTCCCCAAGATTGAGTCCTGGCTGCAGCATCAGTGTGCTCCTGATTATAGTGACATCCTGGGTCCCCATGTTTGGGGTAGGTAGTCTGCATGGGGTGGGGGGTGGGGGGGATGACAGGGACAACCTGCCTCTTTCTTGTGTTTCTGACCAGACACCTAGAAGCACCTAGGAGAAGGACAATCAGAAGAACTGAGCCTGGGTCTCCAGGGTCCTGGGTAGCAGGACTGAGTGCAGGAGAGACCCTGACATTCCAGCCCAAGCATCTTTCCATCCACCTGCACCCCAGGTCTAGCCTGTATGTGAAGGTGTAGACCTCTCAGACTCAAGCAAGAAATGGTCTGTGGGCTACACAGGGGAGGAAACTTTTTCTTTAACCTTCCCGAGCTCTTAGTGGGGACAAACCCCTGTAACAAAAAAGAAAAACAATCACGAGGGAGAGACCTCCACAGAAGGAAGCTTCAAGCAGTGGCTTAGAACTCCACACACACTGCACCTGCAACAAGGAACAAGAGATTTGTAGAGGAACTCAAGATAAACAAAAGCCATTTTGAGGTGTCCAGGGGTTTGGGGACACTGGGAAGGTAAATACATGGTAGGAAAATAATGAAGTAAAGTTTGTCTGTGGATTCTCCCGGGCTACTGAGAGTCTAGATTTGTCTCCAATATAGGAAAATTTATATGCTGTCTTTATATACCTGAGTCTTAGGGACACAAATTATGTAAAGTCTCCAGTAAGTCTTCTTTGGCCCCTAAGGCCTTGGTATTATTATCATGGAGACAGGATGTATAAGTAGATATATTTATTGAAATTGCAACAATTCATGCAACAAGCTTTATCGAGCACCTATAATGTGCTGGTGCTGGGAACTTAGCAACATGCAGGTGCTCAGTCTCGGAGAAGCTGTGTGTTTGTGTTTGTGTTTGTTGTTAACTTGTGAAGCTATGTGTGGGTGCCTCTTAAAGCAAAGCTGCTGCCCTGTAGGCAGGGCGCACCAGTGGCAGGGAAGGTTGGCCTGCCGGTTCCTGCCTCCAGCACTCCTAGAGCCTCTTTGGCCAGGACCTGCCACCCCAAACTCCTGGAGAGAGAGGGTAGGGCAGAATAGTGTATATACTGTATGACCTCCCTGCTGCAATTCCACTGCACCATCGCCAGAGAGTAGGAGCTGCAAGGTGGGAGTGGGGGTGGGGGTGGGGTGGGACAGGGGTGGGGCGGAGTCCCACCCTCTCCGTCGGGGGGGGGGGGGGGGGGAGGATCTGATCCCCAGCCTATCTGCCTCTGGGCCCTGCAGCCAGAGTGCAGATCCTCCTTCATCTGTGCTGCCTGTCTCTCCTAGTGCCGCCTTACACCATTGTCTACTTCCTCTCCAGGGGTATGGCCCCACAAAGAACACAGGCAGGACTCCTTTGTGCCAATCTCTAGGCCCCAGCTAGAACCGGAGGGGACGGGGCCTGGGTGGTGGGGGTGGGGCCATAGTTGCAGGTGGCAGGGCCAGGACCTGTCTTTCAGGAGCCTGCAGCCTTCAGGGATTGTGAGCATCTTCGCTCAAATCTGTCACTGTTCCTTTCCTGGGACCCTGTGCCGTTGCTTCCCTGGCTCCATTCCCCTCTCCCAGGCCCAGATGGGACCATATTCTCCACCTTTTCTCCACACTTCCCTCCCTTCCCCAGGAGGCCCCAAAGCTAGGGTTTCTATCCTGGCTCCGTGTCCCCCTCCCATTCTCCCAACCATTCCCCAGGTGAGGCTGAGTCTCTGCTCTGTCCCCACACTCCTGTCCTGTCCCTCCCGCCCAGGGCACTGTGAGGCCATGCGCATGCTGCTGGCTGACCAGGGCCAGAGCTGGAAGGAGGAGGTGGTGACCTTGGAGACCTGGGGCCGAGGTCCGCTGAAGGCCTCCTGTGTGAGTGACTGCACCCTGTCTGGGGCATGGGTCTGGCCTAAGGGGGCTGTGAGTAGAGTGGGGGCAGCCTGGTTCAGGACCTCCATGGAGCTGTTGCCTCCCTCCTTAGTTATTTGAGCAGCTCCCCAAGTTCCAGGACAGAGACCTTGCCCTATACCAGTCCAATGCCATCCTGTGCTACCTGGACCGCTCCTTTGGTGAGTCCTGAGGCCTCTAGTGGCCCAGTCCAGAAAGATCCCTGACAGGTGCCTGGGCAGGAGTTTTGGGGGCTGGGCCAATGCACCTGTAGCCAATAAAGTCTTACTGGGCTGGGGGACAGGCTGAGTCCCCCAGAGGAAGGTGCAGGGCCCAGGTTCCAGCAGGGTCATGGGATGGTGCAGGGCTCCACACAGGTATGCAGATTTGCTGCACCATTCCCTAGACAACAGCTCAGAGGAAGCCACCAGCCCCAGTATGTGCAGGAACTTCCAAGTGGACCTCCCTGCCCATTTCTTCTTACTCTGGCTACATCTGAATCAGAAAAAAACCCACGCTCACAATGAATAGGCCTGTGGCTTTCTTCAAGGATAACAGGAACCTAGCTTAGGGACAGAACTGTTCTTTTTGGTCAGGTTAGAGAAAGGGTATCCAGGAAAGCCCAGGATCCCAGGAGAGCAGAAGGAGCAACACTGCCATAGGTCCTCCCCAGTTTCAACAGGCCCCAGGTAGGGGACAGAGGCCTCTGTCTAGGACCTGCCACCTCCTCTCCCTGCCCCATGCTGCCCTGTGATGCATGTGGATACCAGCCTTCATGTCCAAATCTGTCTAGGCCCCTACAATAGCTAGTCAGACACACCAGAGCCTTGGTCCTCTCTTAGGGGACAGACTTAGGGGACAGACGTGGCCTGGAGATCAGGCCAGGGTGTCAGCTGGGAACACCCTGGTGGGCCTACAGATTCCTCCAAAGCTGGGTGCAGCAGAGCAGGCCCTTCAAAGTAAGTGACCAGAGAGGGGTCCTGCTGGCCCATGGCTGAGGCCCCAGAACTTTCAGGGGAGACAGAGGACAAAACCTGAGCCCTCTCCCTGTCTGCTGACCCAGGGCTCTATAGCAAAGACCAGCAGGAGGCTGCCCTTGTGGACATGGTGAATGATGGGGTGGAGGACCTCATCAGGTGCTGTAGCCACCTCCTCCATAACTATGTGAGCAGAGATTGTGGGCTGGTGCTCAGGGACATGGGCATCAGGGGCAGGGAGGTCACCTTAATCAGTTTGACCACACGTTCCCAGCTGAGATCACTATCATTGGCAGGAGAAGGGCAAAGCCCAGTGTGCACAGGAGCTTCCAGGGGATCTGAAACCTTTTGAATTTTTGCTGGCCCAGAACAAGGGAGGACAGGGCTTTATCGTGGGGGAACAGGTGAGTGCTGGGTCTGGCCCCTCCCAGCCCATTGTGTCCATTGCTCAGAAGAGCAATCTGAGGCTCGGAGCAGAGGCAGACAGGGAATAGCCAGTGCTCAGCTCCGAAGCCTCTCTTCCTCTGACCTGGCTCAGGCTCCTTGACCCCCTGCCCTGCAGATCTCCTTCGCTAACTACAACCTGCTGGACTTGCTGCTGAACCACCAGGTCCTGGCTCCTGGCTGCCTGGATGCTTTCCCCCTGCTCTTGGCCTACATGATGTGCCTTAGTGCTTGGCCCAAGCTCAAGGCATTCCTGGCCTCCTCATACCATGTGAACTGGCCCATCTTTTCTCTTATCAAGATATGAGCCTGCATGGACCCCTAATAAGAGGAAAGCTGGCTATGGTCATGGAGGGGCTGGGGGTGCACAGGAACCCTTTGCCTTTTCCCAGGGCTGGATGTCTGGGTGCCCACAACAGGATTAGGCCCTGGAGCTAAGCTGCCAGGAGACACAGAGGAGCTGAAGACTCCACCTCAAGTCTTCCTGAGTATGTGTGTATGACCTCACAGTGAGATTGGGAATACAGCAAGCCAGGGAGTGACTTCTATCCAAGAAAAGGACGGCTGTCAAAGTACAGGACAGTTGCTTTTCTGTGTGGTGAATCCAGTCCTGGGCACATGGCTTCCTGGTCTTCCACCCCCCAGGAGCCCTCAGTGCACTCTTGCAGTTGGGGTGACACACACTTAGGGTTTCCCTGCATGCTCACGCTGCTCATTCTCACGTGTTACCATGGTCATCGACACCTGGACACTCCCAGCCAGGTGTGAGGGACTGAGGGCAGCCTGGAACTCTGGATGGCCTCTTGCTGCTTGGGGATCCAGAGAGAGGAAGGGATCCCTCAGGTTGGGGGAGCATCTATCTATTTGAGTAGTCCTCACCCTCATCCTGAGGGGCCTTACACTGGCTCCACCTGGGTGCATCCTCTCTGTGCCGAACCAGTGTGGCCACCTCCTGCCTGAGTCTCGAGTCAGCTGGGAAGCTCCTGTGGAACCATCAGGCAGCCTGGAATCAGACAGTTGCAGAATGCCCACTGCCCCAGTGTGGACCTGCTGCACTAAGGGAGACCACCTCTTGGTCCTGCTGCCCTCGCTGATGTGAGCGCCCCTCCTCTAGAGCGTCCCCAGCCCACCCTACTAGTGTGCTCTTCTTTGCTCTCCCAGCCTCTGTCCCTGTGATGCCAAAGGCATTGGACTCTGCCCACCCACGTAGCCCCCTCCTCTGTCCTCCTCCAGTGGCTGGGTCCCTTGGGCAGCTCTGCCCCCCCACAGCTCCCCTTGGGCCTTGCTCGCTGGCTGGTCTCCTGGAACCACATCCTCTTCCCCTCATTTTTGCCTTACTGTCCCCAGGGGAGGGGCTGGCTCCCCTTCACTTCTGTGGAAATGGTACAAACAGCAAGAGGTGACTCCTGCTGAGCAGGCCACTACTGCACCCTGTCTCTGGGCCTGGACACCACACTCCCTTGCTTCCTCCTTCCACTTCGTGGGGTTCACAAGGGTCTCCCATCAAATACTTGTCCTGGCTCACAGGCCTAGTGCCATCACTCCATGCTGGCCTCATGCTGGGGACTTGGACAATGAATGATCTCATTTAACTCCCTCTTGGCTGAAGCTGAAGCTCAGAGACATGAAGCAGCTTGTCTAAGGCCACGAATACATGGCTGAGCTGGGATTCAAACTCAGGTCTGAGTGACTCCCAAGCCTTTTCTTTTTTCTTTTTGTAGTACTAGAGATTGAACCCAGGGCCTTTGCACTGAGCTACATTCCCAATCCTTTAAACTTTTAAAAGATCCTGCAATGGGCTTGCTGTCACTAAGTTGCCCAGGGGAGCTTGAACTTGCCAACATCCTGCCTCAGCCTTCCACACTGGTAGGGCTATAGGAATGCACCACAAGCAGCAGCTATACTTCCAGACTTTTCCATGGTGGTTCTCTGAAAAGCAGGGAGGGAGAGCCTTGGAGGCCAAAAGGCAGAGCAGGAGGCCAGTCTCAGGAGCAAGAATGATTTAGGCCTGTGCAGGAGCCAGAGGCTGGCAGAGACCATTTAGAGGTGGTGGAGCGGGCAGGAGCACTGATATTGATGGTGGAGCCCTTGCCTGCCAGAATAAGGAGTTGGAGTTGATTCCTAAGGTACTGGGGAGCAGGCTTTTGAGCAGGGAAGGTGACATGAAAGAAGACTTTTAGAATTTTTAATCTTTTTTAGGAAGCTTCAAGTACCACCTAACTCATCACCTTTCAAATGGAGAAACTGAGGTCTGGAGAGGGAATGATCCTTTCAGTGTCACTGTAAAAGACCATGGATGGGCCAAATAATGTTGAGGGTCCTACTGAGACACCCAGAAGAGGCTCCATGAAGGATGTTCTTATATGTTTTGGATCTGGGGGCTGTCTGGAAGTTTGGGTTTCTGCAGGAGAGCTGACCCTTTGGGGAGGAATGCACTAGGAAGCACCCATTGGTTCCCAGGGCAAAGCAGCACACAGTTATTACCTTAGGGGACCCTGGGACTCCCACTCCCCAAAAGTCTGCTGTTCTGAGTCCCCAACCCTGCTGGGATGGGCTCAGGCTTGCAGTCCCATAGCTTGGGAGCCCTCTGCATGCCCATGCTCTCCAGAACACTCAGGAGGGCACATTAACTCTCCAAGCCTGGGCAAGGGCTCGGAGCATGCTTATGTGTCCTGGTGAGTGGCAGGCAGGCAGAGCGCTGGACAGCCGCTCAATTTGGGGAGGGCTGGAAACCCTGGGCTACAGTGGTTCTGTATGCAGGCAGGTAAGACAGTGACCACAGCATCCCACAGGGCACCTGGTGATGCTTGGGCATCTCACAGGTCCCAGGGCAGCAGCAGAAGAAAAGTTGCTGTTTTCAAATCTTTCTGCAACCAACTTCTTCCACATTTTATAGTGTGACTGGGCTGGGTATTTTGATTGTGTAGCTCTGTGACCCCCAAGAGGGTGGGTAGAGAGACTCCTTGGGCTAGAGGCCAGGAGGAGGGACTGGGAGCCCTTCTAGCTGTAGAGGTGACAAGTGACACCAGGATGTGTGGCATCTGGAAGGGAAGGGCTGACCTCCTTCAGGCAGTGCCACAGCACTTTACGTACATCAACTCATTTAATCCTCACAAGGAATCCCCTTGGCAGGTGTTATTATAATCTCCCTTTTAGAGATTTGAAAACTGAAGCACGGAGAGGTAAAGTAGCCTACACAGCCACATAGCTGGGGAGAGGTGCAGCTAGGGTTTAATCCAAGGTTTTGTAGCTCTAGAGCCTGGAATTCTGTCTGCTCTGCTGTGGTGGGGGCTCAAGTTATTGTTTTTTCTTTTAAATTTCATATGTGTGTGTGTGTTGAGGGGTACTGGGGATTGAACATAGGGCCTTTGCACTGAGCTACATCCCTGGCCCTTTTAAATTTTTTATTTTGAGACAGTCTCATTAAGTGGCTAAATTGCCTGGGCTGGGCTTGAACTTTCTATCTTTCTGCCACAGACTCCCAGAGTGCTGGCATTATAGGCATGCGCTACCATGCCTGGTGTTTATATTCTCTGTGTTTTTATACAGAGTGACTGCAGAAGGCTGATACCTGTTTATTCTTGCTAATTACATGGGGGCCAGAAACCCTAAGGAAGAGGCTGGGACAGGGTGGACTCTTGGGCTGCCATACCCAGATGTGTGCTTGTGGACAACAGCAGACCCTCTGTGGGCCTGCTCCCTCTTGCAACATCCAGGGAGGTCCCCAGTGACCATTTGACAGATGAGAAAACAGGCCAGAGCTGGAATGGACACCCTGGCATTTGGATGCCAAGCTTACATTCTCTCCTGACCAGCCCTAGGCAAAGCTCTTGCATGTGGTTATTTAAAACAATAACATTAGTTAAATATTAAGTATCCTTACTGATAGCAAGTTAGAGCCACAGGGATTTTTGAAGGAAAAGCCTAAGTCACATCTAACCTCTAGCCCACCTGGCTGTTTGCTCCCAGGCCTGGGGTGGCCTGAACCAGCTCTGTAAGTATGTGGCATGAGGCCGGGTGAGCCCTGCAGCCTGAAGCCTCCTCTCACTGTACCCAGAGGATGTTGTGCCTCCAGAAGAGCCCAGTGTTTCTCCAGGAGCTGTTTTTGGCAAGGAACCCACACTTGAGCTCCAAACCTTTCTTCCTGTTGGAAGACTTTGCACAGAGCGAGGGGGGAGCTTTTGCATTTCCAGATGGAATTTTCCACCACAAGGCAGACACATAGCCCTGTTCCCCCTGGAACTTACTGTCATGAGACTTGTCCTTCAGAGCAGCATCTGGGAGACAGAATAACACAAAATCTTTTGGTTTGGGGCTGGGGATTTAGCTCAGTGGTTCTGGCACCTGCCTTGCAAGCGCATGGTCCTGAGTTCAATTGCCGGTACCAAAAACAAAAAAACGAAAAAACAAAGACTTTTGGTTTGGCCATCTGTACTGTCTGTGCCTGGGTTCTGGCTTTAAAATGTGTCAACAAGAAGGTGGTGGCCTCTCCAAGGTTTGGGTGGCATACATTTAGGTCTTCACAGAAATCTACCAATGAGGGCGCTCTTGTGGGAAGCTACCATTTTGAGAGTTTGAAGCAGTTGTTTTTTCTTGCTTTTCCAAAAATAGGGCAATTGTGACCTTCAGTTCAAAATTCTAGCCAAGGGAACAGTTGCACACGCAACCGTGATGACTGCCCACTCTGACCTGGCAACATCTTTGTGCATCTCTTCCTCCACGCCCACATTCCCCACCATCCCTCTCCTGTGCCAGGACTGCTTTCCAGACACAGGGATTGACATGTGGCCTAATGCCAGCCACTCACAGAGTCTCAGCTCTGGCCACTGTGATTGGCCCAAGGACATGACGAAGCTGGACCAATGAGAGTTCATCACTGACCCATCACAAAAACAGCTGGCTGGGGCGAGGAGCTCCCTCTGAGACCTGAGCTTCCATTCTGGTCAAGAAGCTGTGAGAATGTAGATTCAGAGAAGAATGTGTGTGTGTGTGTGTGTGTGTGTGTGTGTGTGTGAGAGAGAGAGAGAGAGAGAGAGACACAGACAGACAGACAGACAGAGAGTTAGATTTAGAGTTTAGGTCTCTGGCACCAGTCCCTGAGAGGCCGTCTCTACTCTATCTTTCCCCTGGTTTGGTCATGAAAGCTCTTTTGGAGTTGAGTTCCTGTACCCTCAGTTGAAAGAGACTATGGTAGGTCTGAAATATTTCCATAAATTCTCCCTCCCCACCATGTGAAAACTAATTTCCTACCCTTTGAGGCAGGGGCAGACTTAGTGACTCACTCTAACTTTGAGGTGTGTGGAAATG